ATGCAGCTGGGCCATCTGAAGCTGTCCTCAGTTATGAGCAACCAAGCTTAAATGCATTGTACTGTGAAGAGGTAGAGCTCCGTGAGTGTGAAGCATAGCTTGTGCTTCTGCTTCACTGACCTGTCTGTTTATAACAGTGATGGGCCCTTGACGAGAGCTTAGGCAAGGAGAGCCACATAGGGCGATTCTTTTCAAAATCATTCCCTGCAAGATGATTAAGGAAAGAAGAAACAAAATGAAGACTTGGTCATTTTAAGGGGTGATCTCTTCCAGGGGGGTTACACTGCTGAGGGAAGTCACTGTTAGACCTTGCTGCATTTCATCAAAGTTACTAAAATGAGTATTTGCACAGTAAACAACCCTGTGATCATTAAACAACTGATGTTCTGCACTTTCACAATGCCATTAAGATTTGATATGTAAGAGGGAAATGTATTTTTATACAAATCCAAGTCTGTTCAGTAAATGCCACATCTTTCCCATTGGATTTTTGACCCTAGCAGCATTGAAGTGCCGTTTCCTCTTCTAAATATTTTTTTATTTCTAGTCTATCCTTGTGAGCACTTTGATTGTCATGCTGTACAAGCAGTCTGTCTATATACAGCTACTGTGAATGGATTCATAAAGTGTATTGGCTGTTTTATAATTTTCTGCTTACTATTAATCTAGTAATGGATAAATAGGAATGCAGACAGGCATATTGCATTGCAGTACTCTCCTGGAAGCGTGACTAAAACCTGGAGCACAGGAAAATGCCAGGGTATTAATGCTGAGAAATAATGAGGAAGTTTGAGGTTTTGTTTGATACATCTGATACTCTGTCTATCCTTGGCTGCTCTTATGAGTTAAAATGCATTCAGACCTCTAAAACAAATGTTAGCTGACCATAGCATATCTAAAGGAAGTTTTTGCAGTTAACAATGTACTGCTTGTTGATGTACCTGTACAGTGATTTTCTGTACAGGTTCTATATAACATGAAAGCTGTCCATACATATCATTTTGTACTTTTTGTCTTTCGTTGCACTGAATATTTAAAAAACAAAACAGCCATTTTTATTTTTAAAAATGATGTTTAGGGAAACATAAAAGAAAAAATGAAATTTAAATACCTTGATTATCGATGCATAGGCAGAGTCCAAATTCTACGTAGCCTTCCAATTTGGAGAGATGGCTGCATAATGCCCAGGGAAGTGGTGAAAGTTGACAACCCCCCATGGCTGACCCCTCTGCTCTCTCTTTCTCTCTCCCCTAATCAAATTTTATGTTCTGCTTCCAGATAGCTGATCAGCTTCCCTGGATTTCGCTGACAACACAGGAAAGCTTTGCCTGAAGATGGAAACACTGGAGTCGGAACTGACCTGCCCTATCTGTCTGGAGCTGTTTGAGGATCCTCTGCTGCTGCCTTGTGCTCACAGCCTCTGTTTCAACTGTGCGCATCGCATCTTGGTCTCCCACTGTGCCACCAACGAATCAGTGGAGTCTATCACCGCCTTCCAGTGCCCTACTTGTCGTTATGTCATCACCCTCAATCAACGTGGTCTAGACGGACTCAAGCGCAACGTCACGCTGCAGAATATTATCGACAGGTTTCAGAAAGCATCAGTGAGCGGGCCCAATTCTCCTAGTGAAACTCGCCGCGAGCGGGCTTTTGATAGCAACAGCATGTCCTCCAGTGAGAAAGTTCTCTGCCAGTTCTGTGACCAGGATCCTGCCCAGGAAGCAGTCAAGACCTGTGTAACTTGTGAGGTATCCTACTGCGAGGAGTGCTTAAAAGCAACTCACCCAAACAAGAAGCCATTCACTGGACATCGTTTAATCGAGCCTATTCCGGACTCACATATTAGAGGATTAATGTGTCTGGAGCACGAGGACGAGAAAGTTAACATGTATTGTGTGACTGATGACCAGTTAATCTGTGCCTTGTGTAAACTGGTTGGGAGGCATCGTGATCACCAGGTGGCCGCTTTAAGTGAACGCTATGACAAATTAAAGGTTAGTTCCATCTTCATGCTTTTTCTACTAGCAGGAGTGGTGCCAGATGAAATTATGTGTCTACACCTTGTTTTCTGTGCAACTGTTATATGAGTATGTTAACTACAATTTTGCATTAAACATGTACACACCTACTTCCAGATACCAATAATCAGATTGCATTAGAAATAGTGAGAAATCTGTGTTTAGTATGGAATGGTTACGCATATGCAGAAATAATATTTCACCTGCTAGTGACAATTTTCCAAGTACAATGGGTGTGTGCTGTCCATAACAGTATAAGCAGTTATAGAGGGGTGTGATTGTACATATTAGCCGCAATTCGAAGACCCACATATGTAGAGGCTCCCATTTGCTGAAGGGTATACAGAGCCTTTCCCTGTTCATAAAAGAGCATGTGTTTTGCAAAACTCCATTTGTATTTCAAAGCTGCTGTAATACCATTGTGAGTACCAGTTTCTTAGGATATCTGTTATTCTTTTAAATTGAGGGTAATAATTATGTTTAATCTTATTGCTTCCCCCCCCCAAACATCTTTTACATTGCTGTTACATGAGGAAAGTGTTTTAATACCAGTTTTCTCCAGGATATACAATTGTTTGTACAGTACCAAGTACAGCTGTTGGTTTTCAAAGTCATAATACATGGAAAGCAGCATTGCAGAAAATCGAATAACATTGCTACGACTATGCAGACTCCCCACCCATATTGAAAATCCATCTTTTATCAGTGTCAAGGCTGCTTTGCAGTCTTCCAGTACCACTGCAAAATGTTCTTAGCGTCTATATGTACATTTATATCAGAGGTTTGTTCTAAGCAATCTCTAGCTCAAATAGCAGCTATGGAGAGCAGTGTCATATTTATGTGAGCCAGTGTTCTTTTAGCTGCCAGGCTGGATACAGAACAGCATGCTAGAGAATGGAGAAATCCTTCAGAAGTCCCCTCCCCTGTTCCATTAGGGAACTGCTGCTGTAATTTGAAAATTTCAACAGACAGACCAAGTGCTGAAGGCACAAACCTGTATTGTTGGTCAATGTATTTATATGTTACAGGCAATGTTCCCTCTAAGCTGTGGAGTCTTGTGAGCAAAAATTCTACTTTATGAGTTTCCAGCATTAAAGTTGTGAGTGAGCGATTTGGCTACTGCATAAATTAGTTTGCTCTGGAGCCATCCTTCCTGAGCTAAGACAGAAATGTGTTAGCCAGAGGCTAAAAACCTGTGAGCTAGCTCACACTAACTCAGCTTAGAGGGAACACTGGTTACAGGGGTTTTGAGGAGAAAATCTTGTTTATTTGAACATACTAGTTTAGAAAATACATTTCCCCCCCTTTTTGCCTTGGGGATGGGGTAGGGAAGATATGTTAAGCTACATTAAAGATGTAATGTTAAAGTCCTTATCTACTTCTTTTACATATATGCCGTGCCACATAATGATGTCATTTTAAGAACAGACTTTCAGATGTTATATTTGGGGATAACCAATGACAAGTACCAGGAGGATCGTGGGTAGCACATGCTTCTGGTACATGCAGTTGGATATCCCCAAATGTAAAATCTGAAAAAGTTGAAAATATTCTCAGTATGTATCCTTCAAAACATATGCTTCCATGTATTTCCCCAAATGTAAAATCTGAAAAGGTTTAAAATATTCTCAGTATGTATCCTTCAAAACATATGCTTCCATGTATTTCATCTTAGCCTTTTCTGAACTTTGGTAATTGTTTATATGCATGTTAGACGTTTTACATACTTGCCCTTTAGAGAACAGTAATAATATTTTTCTTCAGTTTAAGTTGCAGGCCTATGACTAGTTCCATTCATATCCATGTGTTACTCATGTTGAAATCCGTAAGACTTCAAGGGAGTAAAAATCGGGTAGGATTTCAGCTTTGTGACCAATTCAAGGCTCCCCAATTACAACTCTCAAATCTTGTTTGCTTCAACTTTCCTGTGTTCCTGCAGAACTTGTAGCTCCACAAGTACTCTGGAACTCACTAGAACTGCAGTAAATTGTGTAGCCATCAAGTTATATTTGTGAATTTTTAAATATTCTTTCTACATAGAATTAACACAGCTTAAATCTTTGTTTTTTAAAAGAATGACAGACCATTTCCTTAAAAACATAATCTTAAGTATCTTTGGACAGAATCCACAAAACATTGTTGCAATGCAACTGCTATTCGTTTCATGACTGGCCCATGAACCAGTGTTTCATGGGCTTTGAATTTATGGCTCAGGCTGAACTGTAATTACTTGGAATGAATTCCATGAAGTTCACTGTAAGTGTTATGATTATGGAGCAAGTCTTAGTTAGCCCAGATATTACTTTTAAAGTTCCTGGGGCAAAAATATTCACCCAAATGGCAAACTATGTGTGACACTGACAATTCTGAACAGTTAATGTGGCCAGGTTTCTTGAATTAATTTTGGAACTGCAGAATAAATTCTTTAACAGTTACAACTTCTTATTGTAGGAAAGTTAGGTCATTTAACTTGTTCAGAACTCTTGTCACTGCACATTTCCTTTTCCATATAAAAACAGGTGTGTAGTAGACCAAAGTTTAGATAGGTAAAGGTAAAGTCCGACTCTAGGGTTGCGGTGCTCATCTCCGTTTCAAAGCCGAAGAGCCAGCGCTGTCCAAAGACGTTTCCGTGGTCATGTGGCCGGCATGACTAAACACCAAGGCACACGGAACGCTGTTACCTTCCCACCGAAGTGGTACCTATTTATCTACTTGCAATTTCTTGCTTTCGAACTGCTAGGTTGGCAGGAGCTGGAACTAGAGACAGGAGCTCACTTCGTCATGCGGCAACTCGGGTCTTGAACTGCTGAACTACTGACCTTCCACAGCCTGCAGTTCAGCATCTTAACCACTTGAGCCACCGCAGCTCCTTAAAGTTTAGATAGCAACAGATTAATTGTTTTGCAGTCTGTTTTCTCGAGGAAGAAGCCTTTTTCTTTTAAAAAATGGCACCAGTAGAGAATTTGAGTATCACACGAAGTATTTCTTAATTCATTCAAAGCTTCTTCAAAAGTGTTTCATGTTTCAAAAGTCTATGACAATAGATCATAACTTATAAAACACCAAGATTTTGCTTCAACTAGACAGAGTTATAACAAGTTCTGTGTTCTGTGTATTGATTCTGATAATGACCAATGCTAAATCACAATCTGGAGATTGTGTGGCCTCTTCCATATTTCATGTAGATGCTGTGACTTTTCCTCTTAAAATAGTGGCACTCCTGCACATAGCAATCCTGCATACTATGGCCCCTGCCACACGGCAGGGGAAAAGCCTCTTAAGGCGCGGATCCCCTGGCCGCGGCGCCTTTTCTCCCCGGCGCGATCAAACGCCGGGGAGAAAACACGGCCCTAACCGGGAGCCGGCCGAACTGCGCATGTCGGAGCATGCGCAGTTCGGCTCCGGGCCGGGGTTGTGCCGGCGCAAGGACGCGCCGGCGATCAAACGCCCGGCTAGAAGCGCCGTTTCCATTTGAACCACCAAGGTAGGTGGTTCAACTTGCGCCGGCTTTTCCGGGGAAAGGGCCAGTTCGGGTATGGAAGCAGGACGCTTCCCAGATGTTGTGGTGTGATCGCGCTGCTTTGATCCGCCCCCGAACTGTCCCTCGTGTGGACGGGACCTATGACAAGTTAATTTGGAAGTCAAAGTAGTTTCCTGTTATTCCTTTTTCTCCCTGTTCTGTGATTTTTCTTACCAAAATCTCAAAATGGATTTCCTCTCCATAGCATCTGAAGAAGTGAACTCTGACTCCAGCTCATGCTGGAATAAATGTTGTTAGTCTTCAAGGCAGCATTGGACTTCTGTCTTATTTCACAAAAAAAATCCCTACAATAAACACTCACACAGCTGTCCTCTGGAGTCAGGCATCAGTTTCAGTGATGCTCAGTAGGTCTCCCAACTAATCACAAACAGTGGGGTGTTTGGTGGTTTTTGGTCATCCCTAAAGGAGTTACGTGGATTTTGGACTTGAACTTTTAGTTTTTGTTGTTCAAATACAATTTATACTGAAACCCAGCAGGTAGTTTATATTCTAGAGAGAACTTCTGGCACATAAAATGCAGCTTGATATTGATACTAAAAGCCTTTTTTGAAAATTGGACTATTAATTTCAGGGCTACTTCATATGTGACAAACACCACACATACTCTGTCATATATGATATGTCATATGAGAATGTTGCTGTAGTTCCAAGACTGACAACCGATGGGCGTATAGCCATTCCAGCTGTTCTACTCCAAATCACATTACTGCACTGTAGTTCATACATGACAGTGTACACATTTAATCCTACAATGAAATTATCACATATACTTTGAGCAGTGGCACATCATTCCAACTCAGGAGGTCTTAGAAAACTGTTAGTTGGCTAAAATATGTAAAATAACATAGAAAATTAATTCTTTTTAAACTGTCCTGAAGGGATGGTTCGACTAGGATAGTGCTTTTGTGAAAAACATGTTTGAAACACCAGAATTATTAACAGCTGCAAGAAGGAAATCCTTTTTGGAACTGTGGCTCAGTGAAATGTATTTCCTTGCGAGTATTATTAAAGATTCCCTGTTAGAGATAAGGTTAACTAGATACAAAGAAATTGTAACAAGTTTTGCCTCCATTTCAGCATTATTGTAATATTAAAGTAAATTTTACAATTGTTATACATTACTTTCTTTAATATGGGTAGGATATCCTAGATCCTTCCGCTAGTGGAGTCACTTTCCTCTGGCAGAAGGAGCCTTGGCTGATAAGAGACATTCCTGAGAGTGCTGCATCAGGAAAAGTCTCCTTCCTCTGGAATTCTGAAAGTACCTCCGCTTGTATAATGGATCTGCAGGATCCAACCCAATGGTTGTGTATTTTGGATACAATAAATTTTTACTTAAGGAAAGGCAAATGATAACTATATGGGAACAAATGAAAGAATTATTGTGTCACTTGGTAGTATAGAGAGACCTATTCACTAGGCTGCTGAAAATCCT